GCGTTGAGCAGCGACAGGAGGTAGTGGCCACCCCATTGGGTCCAGTACTCTTGCTTGCTGATAGCCAGTGAAACCTGGCCACGGGGTGCCTCTCCTGAGAGGTCCTCCAGAAGCGACTTGTTGTCGTCGTCATCGAAGCGAGCGGCAGGCAGCTCTGCAATGAGGCGGCGCAGGCTCTCGAGGTGGTCGTCGGAGATGGTGTCAACCCGCTTGCGCTCGCCGAGGGTGTCGAATGTGAAGAGAGATGAGATGAAGTTGCAAAGCTGGGACCGTGACTGGTGGTAGGCGATGTCAGCCTCGGGGAGGGGGTATCCGGGGTAGCTGAGGTCGGCAATCGCTGTGGTCGAGCGTGATGTGCCGGCCATTGGGGAGTAGACGAGTTCGGCGTTGGCATAAAGCTTCTCGATATCCTGAAGCTTGACAGCGGCATCCCGTGGACGCAAGCGAAGGTAAAGGTCCCTCGACTGGCCGTATAGGATCGATCCAAGGGAAATGCTGGTTATGGCGTGCTCTTTCGAGGTCGCACCGTCGTCAGGAGCGGAGTCCTTCCATACGGTGGCTCCCGTTGTCTCCTCGATGATAACGGCTTCCGGATGCTTTATGATCAGCCTAGCACTGTGGGCGTAAGCGGCCTGCATGTTGGCGACGGCATGGACGAAGACGGTGCCCTGCTACGTGTCAGATCAAGCATACAAAGAGGGCGTCAGGGGTACTTACAATCATGCCGGCATCAGGAATGAATGCATAGTTGCCATCGGTGGTCTCGGCGATGGACTTGAGCAGGCCGGAGCGGATCGAGTAGCCGAAGCCAAAGGTATGAATAGGGGCAGGGAGGGTCGGCAGCATGGTGCTGAGCTTGGCCACGTAACCCTGAGCAGGACACATGTGGTTCGGCGCGCCATCGGTGAGAACCATGATGGCAGGGTTCCTCGTGATCTCAGCCCGGTCCCCGTCCTCGGCGGTGTCGGCGGTGCGGAACAGCTGGACGCCCTCGAGGATGCCGTGCCAGAGGTTCGTGGGGCCCCAAGCCTGCAGCATGTCGATGAGGATGCCAGCCTCGATCTTGGCCTCGTCGTCCATGGGCAATAGGGCCTGGACGACGGTGGCTTCGCGTGAGAAAGTAACGATACCCAGGCGGTCATCGGCTCCGAGCGTGGCCAGGATGGTGCGAGCGGCGTGCTTGGTGAGATCTAGCACGGAGAGACCGGTGTCTTCGTTTGCTTCAGTTTTGGCGGCCGGAGCGGGTGCGGCGACATTCATGCTCCCGGAGACATCGATGACAAGGACAATGTCGCAAGGGGTGCGGCGGAGGCCAGTGGGCGAGCCGACGGGCTTTCGCGGCGGCTGGATCTTGACGATGAGGGCATCTTCGGAGGGGAGGGGATGGAGGGAAAGCGACGGAGATTCAGGGTCGGCCACAGCGAGGTCCTGAAGCCCCTTTTCGAGGGACGACTCGTCCTGGCCGGCCTTTTCAGGCTCGGGGTAGATCTTCTTCTTTGGTTCCATCTTGTTAGTGGGAGTGGAGAAGCGGTTGTTCGCCAGGACATCTGAGCTTACTGTGACCATTTTGGCAGAGGAAAAGGGCAACTTAAGAAACAAGAAACAGGACCTCCTGGTTGCGCAAACGGCGGACAATATGTACAGATCGACAGTTACCATGAGACTCACTCGGCCGACCGAGGGATAGCGGGTTGGGAGCGTCCCGTGAATATAAGCCACGAAGCGGTCACGGGCGGCCTGGTGGTGGCCAGGCAGTCAGCTTGGTGCACGGAGGACTCGGCGGGTGAGTCAGGCTGACAGCGAGAGAAGTGCGAGCGAAACGTGAGAGAAGCGGCCTGCACAGCGGGATGAGCGGAGACATTCGCCGCTCAGGTAGACGGGATGTGGCTAGGCTGGTATAGTAGCCTGGCAGGCTTCACAGCCGGAAGGACAGGGGGATTTCAGCCCTGAGGCCTCGGTCGGGGGCCTCATCGTCCGGTTCCCGGGGTGGCCATTTCGGCCTCGCGGTGGGGTGTGCCCCCCGGATGTCGATGTGAGCGAGAGTGATCGAGGATGCGCCATACATGCAGCGGGGGTTCGGTTCGACGTTTGTGGCCCGGCGAGTGAGAATTGTGGGTGTCGTCGGTGAGACGTTCTGGGTCGCCGGGTCGAGGGCCGACCGCCGCGGTTCGTCCGGGCGAGGTGCCAATCAGCCCCGAAGAATGGCTGAACGGTGGGATCACTGGGATGGGAGTTTGGGGTAGGTAGTAGCGCTAGGCAGAGAGGTTGCAGACTTGGGTCGGGGTGCTGGTTCGCATCGCGTCCGGTGTGGTGTGGTGTTGAGGCCAACTTGGGCGAAGGGACACGGACGGGAAGCGGGGATGGATTGCTGCCTGCCAGTGGGCTGCTCCTTCCAACACTTGGATCCTTCCCACTCCACGAGGCCGCTCGCTCCTGCCACATAAATCGAGACATCAAGTCCTTTGCTGCGCTGCGCCGGACCAGAGGGGAAGAGGCCAAGCCTCTGCTAGATCATTTCCTACAACCGCTGGCGCAGCGACGAAACGCCACACTTCATTCATCCTCCCAGTCGGCCTTTGTTACCCCGGAGCATTATGAGATGACGACGGCGCATGAAACCTCAGCTGGACAGGATCCCTCGGCTTGCTTCGGGCATCATCATCGTCAACGTCAACGCCAACGTCAACCCGGCCGCTTCCGTCGATCAGGGTCCAGCGCATCAAACCGCCGCCAAAAGGAAGAACAGCACAGCCCGTGGCCCCTACGTCATCGTGTCTTTCCGGATGCTGCCCTGCGCCGCGCTGTGCATTGCGGCCGGTGGATCTCTCGCTCACGGACGACACTGCGGCCCTTACCCCGCAAACCCGCCTCGCCGCAGGGGGCAAGGGGCATTTTGTCAGGAAGAGAGAAGCGCCGAAATGCGACGACGTCAGGCAGGATGATGCGCTAGCATGCCGGACCCAGGGAAGTGCCGCTCTGAACGACGACGCGATTCGCAGGGAGAAGGCACCGAAGGCACCGAAGAGGCATCAAGTTGCTAGCACGGCAGACGGGGGCGCTTCTCCTAAGACTCGTGCTACACGGTGGCAGACGCTCGGCCTCTGTCTTTTGACTTTTCCCCTCACGTTTGGACCCCTCTTTGCCCTCCCACGTGAAGGGTCCGCTCTCCCCCAGACTCGTCAGCCGTTGATCTGCCCTCCAGGAGAGGCATCTGATCGATGATCAACCGCGGGGCAGGACGACGATGGCCAATGACTCGGCCTGCGACTTGAGATCGTCAGTGCAAGACTTTTGGGCTTGGTGGCCCGGACGGACCCCTTGCATCTCTTGACGCCCCTGGTCCCCTGCCGCCCGATGTTTTCCGGCCAGCCTTTTTTCTTACTTTCGCTCTTCAGGCCCGAGCAGAATGTTGGCCCCTTTGCCCCTCAGTCTTCTGACACGCCACTCTTCTTCCGACGGCGCTACTTCTTACCTCCAAATGGACGCTACTACCAAGAGGCAACACGTCGTGGCCCCCGTCCTCCCGGGCGTAACCCTGGACACACGATCTTGGCACTAAACGGGAAACGCTACTGCAGCCTGCGCATGCAGCGCACAGCCAAGTTCGCAAAGCTTCGCGTGGGGGAACGGACCCTTTCCCTTGACTGGTCGACTGGACGCTTGCCAGCCTCCCACACCACCAACTTTGCACTTGGCTTCCCCCAGGCCCCAGGGCACCCCCCATCATCTCCCGGCGAGCCGGCCGCCGCGCCGCATGCGCCCTGCATCTTCGCGCCGAAAGGTGCGCATAACAAACGTTGACCTGTGCTGTCGTGCCCCCTCTTTCCCCCTGGCCTGCCCTCCCACTGGCTGCCAGGTCATTACCTGATGCAAAGGGGTAACGGGTTGGATGGCGACAGCCATTGAGAACGCCCCGATGCCGCCTCGGTGTGTCTTTGGCTGGATGCCCGACATGCCGTCAAGGAAATGCGTAAACCTTTTGCGCATGAGACGGATCTGCGAGACCCTCTGCGCTCGTCTGCTGCACAGCCATTCGCCACCACGTCCGTCAGTCCCGTTCCCAGCCTGGGGACTGGGGAAGGTAGCCTGATGGCTTGAGGTTATAAGAACGACCTCGTCCCCTCAACATTCAACTTCTTTTCTCTTCACCCTCACACACAATCTGAACATCATCTCGATCACCGGACTCAAGTCACTTCAGCTTCAAGCAAACACCAAACAACAACCACCACTTCAACCACCAACTACCAACATCAAAATGCCTTGCCCTAGCTGCTGCAAGTGCGGATCAATGATTGTGATCAGCACCTCGTGCACTTCTTGCGGCCACTCCGAGTGCAACACCTGCCTCTAAACGACCACATCATGTCGTGAACAAATCCACGACTCCTCAAACAGAGGCTCTTCAAAAAAAACCCAAACCCTACTCAATCCCGCGCGTCATGTTCGCCCAACTTTTTTCCCACGCCCACACTCACAGCCCCGTCCCGGCAATAAGCCCGGAGTTGGGCCCGCGCCTCCACACCACGTCAAGGCTGGCTTCAACACGAGACAGCCTCGGGGACGTCCGCCCCTCAACTACCCGGCGCTTTCCGGTCATCCTCCACCGCGAATTCTTTTTCGCACACCACCAAGGCGTCTCATCTCCCCCGGCTCTTGCCGCCGCGGTGGCAACAGCCCTGATTGGAACGGATGGGAAATGGCAGCCAGACGGGCATGACAGGACTGAACATGACAGGGCAGGCGCACAACGGATCCCCTTATTATACCCCTTGTATCTTTAGCCGGCAGCGCACACCAATGAATGATGGAATGATTAAGCTTGAACACACTCAAACATTCGCTCCCGTGTGACTATTCGTGAAGAGGAAGCCAAATCGGCCAGTCATACGGCTCCGAGACAAAATGACATCCCCGCTTTGTCCCCGCAAAGCCTGAGGACAGCCAACAAGTTGCCAAGCCACCTGGGGCTCCCCCGGACCCTCAGAGAGCAAAAAGAAGGCGCCATCCGGGGTTTGAACCCGGGACCTCTCACATTTGGCCAAGCTGAGCTTGGGGTAACCCGAAGCGAGAATCCTACCACTAGACCAACGGCGCGCTTGTTGGATGATCCAAATCGAGGGTTTTTGGTTGATGTATCTTGTGACAAGGCAAGAAGGCCACATCACGCTGAGAATGACCCAACGCAACAATTCCTGTTGCCGGAGGTGTTGGGAGGGTGGATAGGCTTCCTTCTGGTGCCTGGAGGAGCTCTAGGCTTAGAGTATGGATGATTTCGTTAGCTTGAGGCGACGAACTTGTCAATCATTGACTCATTGGTCTCGTGGATCATCCGGGTCTCGTGACTATGGTCGGCTTGTTGGCTACCTTGTGAGTAGGTAGTGGCGACGCAACGAGGACAAATTTTTAGCAGACTAGTTAGACAGACACATGTTTCTTCTTCTTCGATCTATCAATTGTCAATCATCAGGTCGAGTCTCGCAGATGAATGACTCGCAGGGAGTATGGCCACTGGAAGAGTTTGGGTGGGGTGGTATCGAAGAGCCTCATGGTGTGAGCTGAAGGAGAGAGATGAGCGGCATCAACTTTCATCTTCTTCTCACCCGCCACGGTTGATCGCTCAGCTCGAAACCGAGATGGAGCAATGATGCACAGTGGACAGCTGCCGAATCTGCCATCCAATTCCACCATCCCGCCATGACCACTGCATCCATGTCAATCATGAACCCTCGTGCCACATCGTCACCAAAGACAGCGACCCCTCAACACCAAGGAAGTCTCCTGATACATGCATCCGCCTCCATCTCGCAGATCTCCAACCTCCTGGGAAGCTCCGTGTCCTGACTACCATCCCGAGGAGACAGCTTGACAGCTTCACTCCACATCGTCAATCCGGGACAGACGTCCCGAGGATTAGGGCCTGCCGCCACATGCCACCCGTCCAGCCGCAAAAGTCTACCGGTTCCCAGCGGCACTCTCAAACCGCTAAAGCAAAGCCGGACTCCCAGCCCGCGCAACGATCTTCACGCTCCTCGTCCGCTTGCAGCACAACTGACGACAGGGGAGGGGCCCAGGGCCCCGGTTCAACGAAGGGATTGAACCTCCTCTTCCCGGCGCTAAAATCCTTCCTCCCCCGGTCGCGAGTCATGTTCGCCGACCGTGGACAAAACAACACGGGCCGCCCGCGGTGACGTCCTCCGGTCCCAAGTGTGTCCAGCACCCAACACAAGATGGAAAAGGACGACCTCCATCACGCATCGGCCTCGGGTTCTGCCTCGCCGGTCACAGGCTCCGACTTTGACGACCCCGTTGAGGCCCGCCGCGTCGTGCGAAAGGTCGATTGGCGCTTGATACCGCTGCTCACCTTTCTCTACACCCTGACCTTTCTGGATCGCGTCAATATCGGCAATGCTCGGTTGTGGAACCTCGAGAAGGATCTGAGGATGAGCGGATATGATTATAACTTGGCTGTGCTGGTGTTTTACATACCGTATATCCTCCTTGAAGTAAGTTCCTGGAGAAGAAGCTAGCTTGATCTTTACTGACTGACATGCAGATCCCGTCCAATATGCTTCTCAACCGCATCAGGCCGCGGTACTACATCTCGGCCCTCATCACGGGCTGGGGCCGTATGTTTGACTCCTGCTTCTGAAAGATGCACGCTGACCTCCGCAGTCACCGTGACCTTTGCAGGCTTCTGCCACAACTTCGCAGGCCTGATCGTCGCCCGCATCTTCATCGGCATCTTCGAAGCCGGCATGTTCCCCGGCTGCCTCTTCCTAATTTCATCATGGTATCGTCGTCACGAGCTCCTCTCCCGCATGGCTTGGTTTATGGTCGCGAACGACATTGCCGGTAGCATCTCGGGTCTTCTCGGCGCCGGTCTCGGGTCCCTGGACGGTACGGGCGGCTACTCGGGGTGGTCGTGGATCTTCTGGATCGAGGGGTTGATGGTGAGCATTCATTTCACTACTGCGAAGACTCTGATTGCTGACTTCTCAGACCGTCATCGCCGCCGTCCTGGCCTTCTTCTTCATCCCCGACTTCCCCCACGAATCCACCTTCCTCACCCCGAGCGAAAAGACATGGCTCCTTCGCCGCCTCGATGCAGACTCCAAAGCCGGCGGCCGCAATGAGCGCATGACCCCTCGCGGCGTCCTCCGCGCCCTTCGCGACTGGAAGGTCCTGGCCGCTGGTTCCCTGTACCTCGCCGTCTGCGTCACCGCCTACAGTATCTCCGTCTTTACCCCGACCATCCTGCGCGCTTTTGGCTGGGGCTCGTTGAAGTCAAATCTGCTGTCGACACCCATTCGAATCGCCTCAGCTATTGTCTCTGTCGCTGTTGGTATTTTGTCTGATAAGACGCGCATGCGTGGTGTTTATTGTCTCGCTGGTTTCGCAATGAGCATTGCCGGCCTGCTGGTCACGATGCTCCTGAAGGGAGGCAACATGCGCTATATGGGGCTGTACTTTGCCGCCATGGGAATCTACATCTGCCAGCCCCTAGTCGTCGCGTGGTGGTAAGTCGCATTCTTCATCTGGTGAGAGTCTCTGCTAACAGTTTCCCCAGCGTCAACCAGGTCGTCGGGAACATCAAGCGAGGCACCCTGACAGCCTTTGCCATCAGCTGCGGTCAGCTCGGCGGCATCATCTCCGCCGTCGTGTTCCCGGAGAAGGACAGCCCGCAATACGTCCCTGGCATTAGCACCTGCATCGCTTTCCAGGTCGTCGGCATCATCACTGCGGTTGGCATGATGGCCGCCTGCCGCTGGGAGAACCGCCAGCGAGACCTAGGGAAGAGGGACGACCGGCGAGATCTGCCCGAAGAGCAGGTGCGGATGCTGGGCGAGAGACACCCAGACTTTAGATATACTCTGTAGATGCTGTATTTGTACAAATCTTTCACACATATTCTTGCTATATACCTCTCATCTGCCTATGGTATTCCGTAACTCGCAAGCACCGTCTCCATATCCGCCCACTGTGGCGCCGCGGCTGGTTCAGCCCCTCCAAACGGCCCAAAGTAGTACCCCCCATCGTCGAGCTGCACGCCTGGGGCGCCAAACGTCGCCAGCGGCCACAGGTTGGTGGGCACGCCCACCTGGATCGGCGCCTCCTGCACCACCCCCATCATGCCCTGGGGCGGCGCCATGGCCGCCATTGATGGCGGCGCCTGCGTGACGAACCCAACGCCTGGCGGTGGCAGACCCGGTGGGAAGTTCCTCGGCCACGAGCCGGCGGCAGCGGGCCGCGTTGTCGACGACGGCTCGGAGCGCTCACCCCCGGTTTGGCTGGTACACTCCGCGAAAGCATCAACGACCTTGGCAAAGCGCCGCATCGACCCGCTCTTCTCAGTGCCGTTGATGACCTTTTGCGATCGGAGGACGAGGTCCTTCACGAGGGCCTGAATGCGCGCCTCCTTGGAGTTCTCCTCAGGAGGTACCGGGCGCCGTAGCAGCCGTAGGATGAGGATCATGGCGGCGCAGTAGGCGTAGAATACGTCCAGTGCCGAGAGGCCGTTCATCAGCTGGAAGGAGTCGAGGAGTAGGACGAGGTATGTCAGCTGGCAGGCGTGGTAGAGACAAATGTCCGCGACGGGGGACATCTCGGCGGGCGGCGTCGTGGTGCCGACTGTCTTTTGCGCCTCGGCGATCTCGCGCAGCAGGACAGGGCGGGTGGCGACAATGGCAATGTAGTGGCACTGGATATGCAGGAGCACGACAGCGCGGAGCTGAGCCCGCGTCTTCCATGACAGTGAGACCTTGATGTCCTCAAAGTTCATGGCGGAAGGCGACTCGGCGCTGCCGCAGATGGGCACGCTCGTGCGGACCGTTGGCAGGTTCAGGGCGTGGTTCTTGGATACCTCGTGCCGCCAGCTGGTGAGGTCGCGAAGGATATCCTCGATGGTAGGCTTAGGCGGCCCAGCAGGCGAGGCGGTGCCATCAGGTCTTTGCTGCCGGGCGTAGGTGAACCGCGTCCGGGCCAGGATGCACTGCAGGCGCAGGGACATGGAAACTAACGCGGCATCGGTGCCGCTGCTTCCGTCAAGGAAGCCTTCGCGCGGCGGAACGACCTCGACGTCCATCTCCTGCAGCCCGCTGGGCCGTCCAAGGCTGGAAGCGAGGAACTGCTCGAATCCGTAGAGGGTGCAAAAGACCCACTTGCGGACCTCCCGCTCGAGCGGGCGAAATGACGAGCCCATGTCGCCGCGATGCAGGCCGAGGGCGAAGGCAATGCGGGTGGCGGTGCCGACGAGGTTCCAGGCGGCATTGCGCTCGTTGTTGTTGTGCAGGAAGAGGGCGAGGAGGAGGAGGACGCGGACGTTGGAGAGGGTGCATTTGGAGATGAACTGGGGGAGGAGGGTGCGGGCGGCGGCGACGGAGGCACGGCGGAGCTGCATGTGGTCGACGCCTGGGGTGGATGGATGCGCGATGGAACCGAAGACGAGGATCATGTGGAGGCAGCCGACCCAGCCCCAGTCGGGGACGGGCCGGGGGTGCGTAGCTTGGGAGGAGGAAGATGGAAGGGGAGGATGTCTGCCACGGCGAGCTTGAACGACGTAGAGCTCGTACTCGTCTTCGAAAGTGGCGCGGTGGAAGAGGGGGAAGTCGTCGTGGACGTTTTTGAAGTAGGCGTGGATAAGGGTTTCAAGGACATCATCGGGAGGGAGGCGGCGGAGCGTCTCGTCGAGGTCAACCAGGGGCATGCGGGTGAAGTCTCGGGCAATGGAGGAGGTCATGGAGCCGGGGGAGTTGTGGGATGAATCGTTGCCGCCCTGGCCTTGGCCGGGGGCTTGTGAGGAGCCGCCGCCCTGGCGCTGCATGGCCTCGTGATGCTCGTGCGAGTCATCGGCCTCAAGGGCCTGGGCCGTGTCGTCCTGGGTGAACTTGGTGACGCGCTCGGAGCGAGCCGTCTCGGGGGCCACATGGCTCGAGACGATGAGGCGGCGAAGCTGGCTGAGGAAGTTGAGGGTCCCTGAGGGCCCGATGTAGTGCTCGTTGCCCGAGGTGTCGCGAATCAGCGAGAGGTGGGCATCGTCGGTGCTGGGGGCCATGTCCTCAGCAGCAGCGACATGGGTCTGGATATCGCCGTTCCTG